AAGAAAAAACAATTATATTTATGCAGCATTATGAATACACTGAAGCCAAAGTTTATTGATAGTACTTTTGTCGTAAATCATGGTTCAGAAAGAATTCCAATTGAAAATCCCAGCGGTAGCAGTGTAGTGCGTTCTGATGACATTATTAACAACACGGTAATGATTCCTAGTTGGTGACATAATGCATTAACTGAAGAGGGTCAAGAATTTGAAAGTGCTGAAGAATTAAGGTTGGCGCTGACATACTATGCTCTGGCCAAAATATTTGATTATGAGTTTAAAAAGAACGAACCAAAACGTATCTGTGTATATTGCCGATATAAAGAAACTTACGAGTGCACATGGATGTTGTTTGCTTCACCTGTTAAGAATGAAAAGAGACTTTTGATCAAGTTTGTTAATGAACACACTTGTGGGTAGTACAGGCAAAATACAGGTCGTTCAAGGGCATCCCGTAAATTCATTGCAATGTAGTTACCACCACTCCCGAAGGTCCATCCAGAAATCCGACCTATTGATGTGCAAAAGGAGTTCCTCACAAAATACGACCTTAGAATTGATTACAGTAAGATATGGTGGGGGGAAAGAGAGAGCACATGAAAAGCTTTACGGGGATATATATGAGTCGTATGATCAACTACGATGGTAAATGCTGAGCTTTATTATTAACTTGTTAAGTTTCAAAGTTTGCTTGTTAAAACAAATAGTTAACATGTTCCTTGTTAAGTTCATTGATAACATTGATAACATGTTAAGTTTCACCACTAACATGTTAACTTTTCGTTGTTACATTGTTAAGTTACGCATATAATTTGTTAACTTTATTTGTTAACTTGTTAAGTTATCCCAATAATGTGTTAGCTTTTTTTGGTCGCTTGTTAAGCTACACGGATAATATGTTAACTTGTTGGTTTGTTTCTTCTTACACGACTAGGTATGAGCGCATGGTAAAAGAGACAAATCCCGGCAGTTATATACATGTTGACCAGAATGAGGGGAGGTTTTCGAGACTCTTTGTTTGTTATGCTGCATGCATCAAAGGTTTCTTGAGTGGATGCAGACCCCTTCTATTTTTGGACGGTATATTTTTGAAGGATCGATATAAAGGTATGCTCCTTTCGGCCATAGCATACGATGAGAACCAATGTATATTTTCCTTAGCGTATTGCATATGTGATCAAGAGAATTTGATGAATTGAAAGTGGTTCCTCCAAGGTCTATGGTCCATACTTTATGAGAGGGCTGACCCTTACAATCCTCCCCACTAATTGGTTATAATTTCTGACGCGGACAAAGAAATTAAAGAATCAGTAAAAGAGTATTTTCCAGAAGCTCTACACTCGAGGTGTGTTCTACATCTTGTTGAAAATTTCAGGTTAAATCTTAAGGACTTGGGTATGAAGTCGAAGGACACTCATGTTCTGGGGAACTTACTCCAAACTGCTTGTTATAAATACGCAATAGCAGAATGGAATGAGTACATGAAAGAGATATATGACATGGATCCAAGGGCATACAACATTGCTGTGAACTACTCTCCTGATCAATGGACAAATGCATTCTTTCTAGGAATAAGGTAACGTTATTTGGTTGTTCTATATCTATGCTAATGTATGAACTTATGCTATTTAGCATGTTATCTTTGGATTTGTTAAATTTTATGTCAGAACTGTTAACTATATTCAGTTATTTCTTAATTGATAACAAAATTTACGAGGCTGTTCACTATGTTCATTTATTTGTTAACTCTTATATCTGACATGTTAACTCTTGTCTGTAAACTGTTAATTGTACATCATTAATTGTTAACTCTATTCAATTATTTGTTAACTCTTGTGGCTAACATGTTAACTATTGTTGATAACATGTTAACTCTTGTGGAAAACATGTTAACTCTTGTGAAAAACATGTTAACTCTTGTGGCTAACATGTTAACTCTTGTGGTAAACATGTTAACTTTTGTGGATAACATGTTAACTCTTGTGGATAACATGTTAACTATCGTGACTAACATGTTAACTCTTGTGAATAACATATTAACTCTTGTGGCTAACATGTTAACTGTTAAATGTTAACTGTTATATGTAAACTGTTAACTGTAATTCAAAAAAGTTAACTCTATTCAATTATTTGTGTTAACCCTTATTTATGACCTGTTAACTCTTATCTGTAAACTGTTAACTGTAATTCATTACCTGTTAACTCTATTTAATTATTTGTTAATCCTTATTTGTGACATGTTAACTCTTATCTGTAAACTGTTAACTGTAATTCATTACCTGTTAACTCTATTCAATTATTTGTTAACTCTTATTTGTGACCTGTTATAAAGTTATATATAATTTCAGGTATGGACACGTAACATCTAATGTCGCCGAGTCTTTTAATAATTGGATAAGGGAGGCTAGAATGCTACGAATTCTACAAATGGTTGAGCATATTCGTAAACAGATAATGGTCCGAATGAGTAATCGTCGGTTACTTAGAGATAAATGGGTTAGATATCTCTGTCCACAAACAGAGATGGTGCTTAAAGAAAATATAGAGAAAGGTCGTCCATTGGATGTTAAGCAAGCTGCAGGTGACATATTTGAAGTGCAAGCACATAAAACTACCCGCGTTGATTTGGAGAAGAAGACATGCACTTGCCGTGCTTGGGACGTCATGCGGATTCCGTGTAAACATGCATGTGCAGTCATCTCGTTTATGAAGAGAGACATTTACCAATATTGCGATTGGTTTATGTCCACAGAAGCATTTAAAAAGAGCTATGACCCGATTCTCTATCCTATACTAGATTATGAGAAACGAAGTGTGCAAAGGGATGAGATCGAGCTACTTCCCCCACATACTACCAAAAGAAAGGGGAGAAATAAAACACGATGTATCAACAATCGAATAGTGTACAAACGGCCTTTTAAATGCTCTCGATGCCACTATGAAGGTCACACATGCGCAACTTGTAATGAACCGATCGCCGATTGATATGAGTTGCGGATTTACCGAAATATTTTTGGGTGTATGTAATACTTTTGTAGTTAACTGTTTATATGAACTGAAACATATTTGGGTGTTTGTAATTCTTTTGTAGGTATGTAGTAATTATGTATATGAACTGAAATACCTATGGAGCAATGTGAACTATAATAAAAATATTATCTTACTTGGTTTGTAAAGTTACTCAGTTAGATTGTTAAGTTACAGTTAACATATAAAATTTTCTTGGTAGGTTATTAAATTACACCTATTATATGTTAACTCTTGTGGATAACATGTTGGGTAACATGTTAACTCTTGTCGATAACATGTTAACTCTTGTGTCAAACATGTTAACTCTTGTAGATAACATGTTAACTCTTGTGTCAAATATGTTAACTCTTGTGGGTAACATGTTAACTCTTGTGACTAACATGTTAACTCTTGTTGCAAACATGTTAACTATTATCGATAACATGTTAACTCTTGATGATAACATGTTAACCCTTGTTGATAACATGTTAACTCTTGTTGATAACATATTAACTTTTGTTACAAACATGTTGACTCTTGTGAATAACAATCAAACTGTTAACTGTAATTCTCTGTTAACTTGTTAAGCTACGTAGATAACACGTTAACTTTCTCTCGTACATTATTAAGTTACGCGGCTAACATGTTAACTTGTTAATCTACATAGTTACACGTTATATTTCACCGAAATGTGTTAACTTACGCTTCTAACATGTTAACTTTCTCCGTATACAGTAATATTTAACAAGTGAACCTGATATGATATAAACTTTCTCCATATTTAACAAGTAAAGCTGACATGATATAATTGTTAACTTACGTGTCTAACATGTTAACTTTCTCTGGACACTAGTTCATTAGCTGTTAACACATTAAACCCTCGAGAAATTAACTACTGGCAAAATAATCTATACAAGCTGAAAATTGTAAAGATTGTTTGCAGTTGTTTATCTACATAACATTCTTCCTTAGCCTGTACATTTGCGGCTCGTGCAGACGCTTTCAATTCTGGGTCCTCAACGGCTATTATGCCCTTTCTATTTTTGAATTCCCAACCTTCTTTTATCAGTTCCGCCGCAAGCCTTGCACGCACTACCTCCGACGAATCATCGGCGGGCGTAACATGCAGTACGTCACCTTTCTGTAGAATAGCCCGTACATAAAGGTAACGTATATCCCACAGTCGTAGCTACAAATAACAAAACATAAATACATATTACAGGTTAGTTTTGGAGGCTAAAATTCTTTAATAAAATAAGGTTCATATGTTAATGTACCTTCCCTTTTGAGGCTCGCATGAGATTTTCTTATATTGAAATGTCCTACACACCTTTTCAGGATCGAATGCGGCATTCATATGGTCCATGAAGTTTATAATTTTGTTAACGGGCTTAAGGTAAGCAGAGTGAGTTACCGAACTATAATGCAACGCTAAATATTTATTCATATAGTTCATATAGTTAACATTTTAACCATATGAACAATTGGGACGCTATACGAACAATTGGGAATATGAGTATTGACCAGCCAGCGGTAATATGTTGTTGTATATAAAGTTCATATAGTTCATATAGCCGCAGATGAGCCTGATCTCCATAGAGTGAATGCTGTTACACGAAATTAAGACATTAAGAAATGTGAATATGGTTTAAGTTCATATAGTTAACATTTTAACCATAATATTTAGCATGTTTACTCTTGTGGAAAACATGTTAACTCTTGTGAAAAATACATTAACTCTTGTGAATAACATGTTAACTCTTGTGGCTAACATGTTAAACCTTGTGAATAACATGTTAACTCTTGTGGCTATATGTTAACTCTTGTGGATAACATGTTAAGTCTTGTGGATAACATGTTAACTCTTGTAGCTCATTGTTGTTTTTAACATATTAACTATTGTGGTTAACATGTTAAATATAAGAGCTTAGCTGTTAACTAATTATATGAGGATTGGTCTTACGCAGAAATATGTAGATACAATCACATACTGCTTGTTTAAGACAGCGTTCTCCTGCAACTGCAGCAATAGCCGTAATCTGTCTAAGATGGCCTCTGTTATTTTGTCATCGAGTCTTCTCCCGCGGAACATATACAGTAGTTCCGGGTATGTAATTGTGTTGTTAGCAGTAGTTATGACATCGACGTACCTTAAAAAACAATAAGTTACGAAGGGTTAGAATCTAAAACATAAAAACTAACATCTAAACATGAAAATATAACAAGCAACTAACAGAGGTTCACAGTTAATATTAAAGAGAGTTAGCATTAAATTACTAAACATGTTAACTCTTGTGGCTAACCTGTTAAGTCTTGTGGATAACATGTTAGCTATTGTGGCTAACATGTTAACTCTTGTGAATAACATGTTAACTCTTATGGATGACATGTTAACTCTTGTGGCTAACATGTTAACTCTTGTAGCTAAATGTTAACTCTTGTGGTTAACATGTTAACCTTTGTGGGTTAAATTTAAACGTGAAAGGGTTAAATTTTGAAATCAGTACTTACGGGCTACATTTCTCCTTGCAGTATTGCGCGAGCTATTTGTTCTTCTCAGCTGAGAGTTTCTCTGTCACATTTCTTGGTATTCTGTAGTTATGTACAAAAACCCAACGCTATCTAACACTTGTAAGATAAATGTGCCTACATCAGGGATACCCTCATTCACCTCTTTTAAGGCAGCACGATCCACATCTGTTAAATACGTGCTTTTTAGCACATCCCACTTACTAACACTGTCATTATAGAAAACTGTTATTTTCTCTACCTTGTCACCAATAACAATGGGTTCATCTTTGTGCTCACATCCTTTCAACTTCAATCCCTTAGCTCTCAGTTTCTTATCCTCAGTAAATGGTGTCCTAACCAGTTTACCTTTCTTGTTTGCTCTTTTGCTTGGAGCTCTATTCCTATAACCCACATTTTTTTTGCTCACCGGCTTCCTCGGCCTCTTCAATCCTTTGCTGAGTGGAACATTCTCAACCACACCTTTCTCCTCCTGCACCATCTATTTGTCCTCCTCATCCTTGATCACTTGTCTCTCTCTCTCTTCGTTCTTGCCTATTTCCTCGACAACTTCATTCTTGGTAACATCGTCTCTCTCCATTCGAGTCCTCTTCATCCTCAACCATTTGCTTGTCTTCCTCATCCTTGATCACTTCGTCTCTCTCTTCGTTCTTGCCCATTTCCTCGACACCTTCATTCATGGTGACGTCGTCTCTCTCTCCATGGTTGTCCTCTCCATCGATTTCATGCTTGTCCTCTTCTTCCACTGTAGGGTTTCCTTTCAGGTGCTGTGCAATAAGCTTCTTCACATTGTTCTTTAAAACCAATGGATCTACTATGTCATTAGATTCGTCCAACCCCTTAACCTTTTCGTTAAGTCTACGAATCTCGTTCATGAAAGTTTGACAATACATTTTCTTCGAGACCCTTAATGTACGGTAAAGTCTCTGGTTTACTTTAGCAGCATTTCTCCAAAATTACAGCTGCTCCTCAACTGGTAACGTTTCAATCTCATCTTCCCTTTCGAAAGCCTCATCAATGGTTTTTGATATTATCTCTAATTTAGAAATAAGAAACAGTTAACATCAAGCTTATAAAGGTTAACAGTAAGAGGCCCACAGTTGACACATATAAATTAAAGGTTCTTCAATCATCTATAGGTAACATGTTAATTGTTGTTGCTAACATGTTAACTCTTGTGGGTAACATGTTAACTGTTGTGGATAACATATCAACTCTTATTGCTAACATGTTAACTTATGTTAACTTTTGTGGCTAACATATTAACTGTTGTTGGTAACATGTTAATTCTTGTAGGTAACATGTTAACTCTTGTTGTTAATATGTCAACTCTTGTGGAAAACATGTTATCTCTTGTGGCTAACATGTTAACTGTTGTGGTTAACATGTTAACTATGGTGATTTAGCACATTAAAACTTACCAAACCTATTGACCATCTCTTCTCATGTTCCTTCTCTTCTTCCTTTTTTTTTCAATCTTCTTTTCTTCTTCAATCTTCCTCTTCCTTACTGCTGCTTTCTTCCCCTCCGTATGTATGACTGGAAATTGTGGTACAATCCCTTTACTTCTAAGCCTCATCAATAGCCTTCTGATTGGATATTTCTCATCGGATGGGCCAATTTCAGCTATTGGTTTATGTACAATATGGATGCTAGCTTTTACAGCCTTGGAAACTATTGTGCGCTTTCGAAAAGATCCATATTTCTCACCAATCTTCACCCAGTTAGTGAGGGGTGGCTTGAATCTATTGCTCAAGGCATATCTTTTAATCCCCATCATTTCATAGTACCATAGCTGCAAACAAATAATACATGTTAGTATGCACTACTAATCTTTTAAACATGAATATAATTAACAGAACTGAACTGAAACATAGTTAACACTGACAACACCAACTTTAACACTGGAAACACTATAGTTAACATGAACCTGAATATAGTTAACCAGATCCTTAAAATAGTTAACATGCACCAGTTAGTCTTAATGGTTTCTTGACGTAAGTTGACAGAATACATGCAAGCGTTCACATACACAGGTTAATCCAACTTACGGGGATCAAAGGCATGCATCCAGGTACATAGCTTACTCCTGACCTGTGCAGACCTTCCATGGCAATCTTAATTTTTTTCTTCATCTGGTCATAGATGTATTTCCCCCAGGCCACATTCCTCACTCTTTCAATTGAATCAATATATTTGAACAAGAGCCTTGGGATGCCTTGGACACTGCTAGGGCACCACATCATTGAACATTGATAAAGTATCTACAGTAACACAAAATCTTCAATATCCTTCTTCTTTCTTGATTCAACAAGAGATTGCAGTAGCTCTTCCACATATCGCCGCATATTCTTCGCTGATTTCTTTGGGGTTCTAGTAAAATGTTCATCAAAATACTCCACCCAAAGCCTTGGGAAAGGATCTCTATTATTGTAAATTATTTCCCCATCAATTGGGAAACCTGTATGTTCATGCACCTAGCCCATATCAAAATTAACAACCTTTTCTCTCCCACTTTCGACATCGGGCAGAGAAAACGCCACTTCATTACCCTTATAGTGACTCAATACAAGTTCTAGCGTGGGTTGACCTACTGCTGGGGGGCCAAACTTTACATAATGCTGGAATGTACACCCTTGGTATGCATCCCAATGACACTGCCGCATTCTCGGTTCGAGGACTTTCATAAATTTACAATATGCGACGAAACTAGCAGTAGGTCTAATTTCAGCAGCACCTGACTTTTTCCTGTATTAAAATTAAACATTTAACATCAATCACACTTAACATCCAACATCCAATAGTTAACATGCAACGATGAACTGTAACAGTTATGCTATAAACCTTAACAAACAACAGCCAAACTTAACATTAATAAGAGGTATATAGTTCACATTTAACATTAAGGTATCAGCTAACATGTCCTTCAACCAATGTCCAGGCATATAGTTCACAATGCACCTTAATCTATAACATCTATCTAAATTGAAAAATATAATATATAACATTATCTTACTTCTTTATGGATTTCTGTTGTGCGTTTAGTGAACTTGTAATTTTTCTTTTTCTCCTTACACCCTTTTGGAAACTCAACAACGTTGGGATGGCTTCATCGGTGCTGCCATTCGCTGATGATGACGCATGGGTAGACTAAGACTTGGAGGCGGGGGAGGATGTGAGAGAATCGGTACCACGGTCGGTCTTAGATGGCAAAGGGGGGTCTTCGTCGGTCTTGGAAGGCGAGGGGGGATCTTCGTCGGTCTTGGAAGGCGACGGCGAGTCTTCTCGCTCGTCGTTCATCGGTGCATGTTCCTGACTTTGCAGCGGCGACGGAGGATGGTGAACAACTTTGAATTCGTTCGCCGATTTTTTCTCCATCTTCGATCCGGTTTCGACCTAACCCTAGAGTGTAGATTTTGGTTTTTTGCCGGAGGGAAAGCCAGAGACAGAGTGCGGGAGGGAGAGTGGAGAGAGAGAGAGCGTCTCGATAGTAGCGGAGTGGGCGGCACCGTTACCAACGCACGGAGGCTGTAGCGGAGTGGTCGGGAAGGGTAGAGTCGGGTTTCTGAGAATTACAGCTCACTCTCGTGAGCTGGAGGGGCTGAAATGAACTTTTGGAGTGTATTTTGGGTTTATACCAAACATTAAAAGTACAGGGGGCTGTTGCACATTGTTTTTTTAATGTTGGGACCTTGAAGCAATTTTTCCTTATTTCTAACAAATGTTAATGTAAAAATAATATATTCATAATATAATAATATTTATTTATATCATAAATTATTAATATATGATTATAAATATTTATTTATTTATATTATATCATAAATTATTACATAATATAATTATATAATATAATAATATTTATTATATTATGAATATATCATTTTATTAATAATATATTCATAATATAATAATATTTATTTATATCATAAATTATTAATAAACTCTAACATATTAAAGACCATAATATATTACATAATATTAAAATATTTATAATATATTAATTTATTAATAACATACTAGTAATAACATAATATTAACATTAATAATATTATTATATTATATGAATAACAGTATAATATTGTATTATATTAATAATAGTGTAATATTATATTAATAATAAATAACATTATTATAAAAATATTAGGGAAAATATGTCTAGGCCCCGAAAGTGGAAACTTCGTGTCACGAGCCCCCTTGTATTTTTCCTCGTGTGGAATAGCCCCAAAAAGTAACGTTTAATGTTTCAAACCCCCTCCACATCAGCATTATACTAAAAGCAGAATATATTTTGGAAAAAAACCGATATTGCCTTTCTCTTTCTTCCCCAGACGAGGCCTCGTACCGAAACAGTAGTCACTTCTTATTAATGCGATATGATGGAAGAAATGAAGAGAAATTTCCCTATTTTTTTACTCCATCATGAGCAATAACTATTTAGTTATCCATTACTCCTCCTCAGATGAAAATTCTCTCCATAACTCTCTCCATTACTCCTACCTTCCCTTCAAAATGGCTGAAAATGACATCATCTGCATTGTCTCTTCGGGGTATAAAGTGGTATTCTTGAAGATTAACTCTTCAACCACCATCTTGGATCTTAATTTTGATGTGGCAGAGAGGTTAGATCTTCCATATGAGTCATTAATTTTGTCATACGAAGATGAAACAGTTGGAAGCTTAAAATTTCTCATTGAGAACGAGGGGTATCTGACGTCTATGGCAGAGCATTGCCACAATCTTAGACTGAAAGAGGTTCACATGCAAGCTTTTAAAGAAGCAGATGATTCTTCAATAAACAAGAAAACGAGCAAGTCCGACAAGACATGTAGGTTAACTGTAAAATCAATTAACTTTAGTTCTAATCGTCTTCTTATTAGTTCTATGCTAGGTTTAACTAGACTTCAGTTCTAATTCGATCGTATGTTAGTTGTAATATTGGTCCTGTTAGTTCTAATCGATTTATCGTTAAGCAGTTCTTTGTTAGGCTCCATATGTTAGTTCTAATGGTTTCTTCGTTAGTTCTAATCACTATTTTGTTAGTTCTACTAGATTTATTGCTAGTTCTATCTCCAGTTCCATATGCTGGAAGCGCTGCAAAGTTTGTTAGTTCTAATCTATGTCTTGTTAGTCCTAATAGTTATATTGTTAGTTCTAATAGCTATTATTTCAGTTCTATACAATTTATTGTTAATTTTAGCTCAAGTTCAATGTGTGGTCGAGTATGTTAGTTCTAATCAATGCACTGTTAGCTATAATGGTTTACTTGTTAGTTCTTGCTAGTTCTAATTGATTCTAACTGCAAGCAGTTGTCGTTTTTGCTTTTTAGCTTTTGATATTATTTGTTGATGTTACTACTATTTGTGTAGTTTATGATTATTATTTTTATGTTCTTAATGTTCTTAATATTTGTAACGCTTCCAGTAGTTTGAACTCAAAAAGTATAGATTGTGGCCCGCCGGTGTGTTTCAGATAAGATTAATTCCCAATGACAATCCTTCCGGAGATAATGTTTTGATGATTGATGACATGATTAGCAGATCAGAGAGAATTCCTCCTTGGTGGCACACAGCTTTAACCGGTGAGAGACAACGATTTGAAAGTCTGAAGGAGTTAAGATTAGCCTTGCTATACTACTTCATGGCAAAAAAAATTCGAATGCAAGTTTGGGAAGAATGAACCAAAGCGTATTCGAGTTTTTTGTCGGTTTAAGGAAGCCAAAAATTGTCCGTGGATGTTATTTGCCTCTCCACCGAAAAATAATAATAGACTTGAAATCAAAAGGTTCATGAACAATCACAATTGTGGGCAGCATGGCAATAATGCACGTCAATCTAGAGCCTCTCGGTAATTCATTGCTACCCAATTACAACCCACGTTAAAGGTACGACCGGATTATACGATGTATTGACGTTCAAAAGGAGTTTCTAAGTTCGTATGAGATTAGGGTCGATTATAGTAAGATTTGATGGGGTAAAGAAAGAGCACAAGAGAAATTATATGGTGATGCTCATTAGTCCTACAATCAATTACGATGGTAAATAGAAGATGATATCTACAATAGACAAACTAATTTTATTTATGTGACATTGTTTATACTACTTTTGCAATGTTGGTACTAACGCTTAATCTTCAATTTTCTAGGTATGTAGAATAGGTCAAGAAGACAAACCCAGGTAGCTATATTCACGTTGAACAATATGAGGGAAAGTTTACAAGGATATTCATCTGCTACGCCGCCTACATAAATGGTTTTTTACACGGATGTAGACCACTTGTATTTTTGGATGGTACCTTTCTGAAAGATCGATTCAAATGTATACTCCTAAGTGCCATAGCATATGATGGAAATCAGGGGATATTTCCATTAGCCTTATGTATATGCGATCAGGAAAATAATGTTAACTAGAAGTGGTTCTTACAAGGTTAGTTCTATCCCGAGCCATGTTTGTTCTATTGCAGGTTATGATAGTTCTAGCTCTTTCCTTGTTAACTCTAATTCGTGTATGGTAACCACAACTCTTTGTAGGTTTGTGGTCTATTCTCTATAAAAGGCCAGACCCATACAACCCTCCACACAAGCTAGTGATAATTTCAGATACGGATAAGGGGATCAGAGAAGTAGTTAGAGAATTTTTCCCAGATTCTATACACTCTCGATGTGTGCTGTATCTAGTTGAGAACTTCAGGACAAAGTAGAAGGATTTGGGATTCAAATCAAAGGATACTCAGATCTTGGGTAATCTATTGCAATCTGCATGTTACAAATATAATTGAGAAGAATGAAAACTGGTAGTTTTGATCATTTTGTTCCTGACAAGATCAATGTTGTATATGCCATTTTTGCCAAAATAAAAGTAGATTGGGCAAATGTTTTTCTCAAAAACATAGCATCAAAGCATTTCAAATTTCTACCCTTTGGCTCCTTCATCACCCTTATTCTTCAACACTTCGGTGTTGATCTCACACATGAACCCAAAGTTGAACCCAAGAAGGACTTTTTTGATAGAGTCTCTCTCTCTCGTATGCAACTGTCAGACTCTTTATCTGATCACACTGTTCCATCATCTTCCCGTTCTCAATCTAGAGCTTCCTCTTCTACTTCTGATATTTGAGAGGGTATAAACACCTCATTGCTGCTCTCTTTTACCTATCCAAGTTTTGTGTTTAACAAAATATTAAGTGTGTTTAAAAGAGCTGTTTAAGCTGATTTCATCAGTCTGTTTCAAAAGAAGTTTTCCTACAACAAGAAGTGGCTTTCAAATCCTATTGGGATCATCATCTATTGTTCTTCTTGTTTGAGAAGTTTTCTAAACTCTTATATAGCTTACTATTCCATTTTTATTTCATTAGCTATATTTATTGAGTTGTATTATTTTTTATTCACTGTTATCACACACACACATATTGCGCTTAATATCTTCATACCATATAGTGTGGGTTGTGGGGTGTGATTTAGTGAGTGTGAGCTTCATTGTGTTCTCACTTGTTATTTGAGAACAAACCATTGTATTTAATCTTTTTTTTGTGAGTATCACTTGTAATACACTTGTACACCGAGAGAAGTGTGAGGCGAGAGACAGGGTCGAATCCAATAGGAATAGCGTCGGTTGACGAACCTAGGGAGAGGTTGCATCCGAGCACTTGAGGAGGATGACACGGGCTAGGTTCCTACACTTAGTATGTAAAATGTGATTGCATAGTATTTATTATGTGAGAGTTTTCGGTGATCTTATAAACCGAGTGTGTAGAAGTTCTGGCTTCCAAACCGGATTGTGATAGTGGATATCTCCTCGAGGTGATGAGCGGGGACGTAGGTCGTGGGGACTGAACCTCGTAAACATATCTTGTGTTTGTGTTTGCTTAGCGTATATTTCATTTGTGCTTTTTCTTATCGTTCTTATTCATATCTATCTCTTGCAAGAACAAATTAATTAATATAATTTTTAATTAGTATTTAATCGGGATTAGAAAAGCATAAGACCCTAATCACCCCCCCCCCTCTAGGGTCTAACAATTGACTTAAACACCAAAAACTACATAGTTTTCCACAAACATAGTTTGTTCCACAATACTACAAACCATACACAAATGTTTCACAAAGACACATAGTTTTCCACACAAACATAGAGTTATTACAACTCAAAATAAAACATAAGTTAGAACACAATGAAAGCTCACATAGGTGTTGGAACTCTGAATCGTTTAATACCCGAGATTGCCATCTCAAATGTGTACTACCGGTAATAGGAGTACCTGGGCTAACAACCATTATGGACAAATCAGTTCCAACACCTGCCAAATCCTGACCCACGGCCTCATCCGCTTGTGGCACAAAGCATGACTCTCCAAAAAAGGTTAAGTCGGGAGAAGGGGGATCGTACATCATTGTGCCTTCATCACGACCCTCTAAAATATAAAACTTACTGAGTTTAAAGTTCGGTAGAAGAAAAGATTGAAAAGATGACAAGAGTTAGAACATTACCTTCCCCACCAATGGGTGCATCGTCGGCCGCCTCCGTTAGTCTCATCCTCGGAAGCAAATGACTCCTCTTTAACTTCCTCTATTTTCCGCTTGCCTTTGCCTGAGGGACCAGCAAGCTTACTGTCTCGTCTCCTTCGTTCCAATGCATCTTCTCGGACTAGCATCGCAGCGATACGCGATGCAGCTTCCGCCCTCAGATCCTCAATCGACCGCAGGGGGACGGGCTCGTTAGCAGCCATGATCCATTTACAGCATAGATATGTGAGCTCTAAGTGGCGATCAGTATTCGGGAGACAAAATTTAACAACAGTACAGCCCGTCACATTCCACAGCCAAGCGCGAACGTCGTCCACTAGCCCGCCACGAGTGTGAAACCGTTGGTTCGGATTCTCAATGTATAGCTGGTCGTATCCAAATTGACGGGCGAACCGGCACGGCAAATAATGCTCTAAATAGCAGTGCTCCTTTACCCGAAAAATGAGATGGTCTGGCCTTAATTATATTCATGAGTCACCTGAAACACCCAACATCAAGACAAGTTCGATCGGTTCTAGGCAGAAATTAGAAAGATCAAGAGTTTTTGAGGCTCCTAAGTGGTGGAAGAGAGAGAAAGAGAGGGAGGGTACTTGAATAGGGATTGGGCACATTAACCGAGTTCAGTCCCATCAAAGGGGTAAGATCGTAACTTCCGCTGGGTTTTTTTGAAAAAAAGATACTTCGAGGCTTTGTCGCAAATACTGTGCGCGTTTGGGACTTATACACATGGGCAAAATACAATGGGGCTCGTCACACGAAGTTCTCACTTTTGGGGTTGGACACATTTTCCCAAAATATTAATATAATATATAACAATAACAAATTGATATACCTAAATAATTAAATAATTAATTATTTAAAAATAATATGTAATAATTATAATATAATATAACTCATTAAGTACAATATAATATTATAATACATTATACAATTTATATTGTATTATATTTAATACTTCTAATACTATAATAATGTAAACTAAATATTATAATATTTTATTTACAATATATTTTATTATAATTATTATATAATATATTAATAATATGTTTAATATTAATATTGTAATGGGTCAAACTCGTGTGATCAAAAATACTTAACATGATGTTTTAAAAACGTTTTAAGAAAAAACACAACACCATGACGTTTCTCTACAAAAACATGACGTTTCTCTAAAAAACACAACAACGAAAACACTGGGGAGCCCAAACGAAGCCAAATAAACCTAAAGCGTTGCGAATGAGAATCCAGTCACTTAAATTCACATGAGAAACATCAAGAAACTACATAATATAAACATATGAACTAGCTGCGGCAAAAATGTATCATTGAAAATTCCAAAGAATAATCACGTGAACTAATCCTACCATAGATGAGTTCCAAAATTGGCAATCTAATGCAGTATTCTAATATTCTAATTAAATAAAAATTTATAAGGGAGTTAGAAATGATGGAGGATTTTAAATACCGGACTCATATTTTCTGTGAGCCAGAATTAGTGTCAATATTGCTCCTGCCAATAAAATTTTCTAATGAAACAATAAAACTAATTTCTAAAAGAAAATATATCTAAACCTAATAATTAAGAGTTTCTTCAACAACAACAAATTTTAAGTTAAAACCTCTCACCTCATAATTTCCAATACCTCCCAATCCAGTGTAAGCATCTGTTGCTACTACCTCCGTCCTCTTCATCGTCGTCCTTCATATTATCACCAGTGAGCTCGTCAAGGGTTAGGGTTGGTTTCTTCTTTTCTCCAATCTGATGATTAATCTGGATGAAGGAGAAGATAGGATGATTTTTGGATAGTGGTGAGCTTATAAATTTAGACTGTGAAAGGCCCCCTTTATATATACCCTCACAAATAAATAAATTAAAATAAATTAAAATAAAAAATTAAAATAAAAAAATTGCACGTGAGAGAGTAGCATTATTGTGCCTCGTTTAATGCCCCATCCCCCATGTGATGCCAATGTTTAATGCCCACACAAGGGAATCCGGTTCATTAGCTTATTGGGTCTTGTTAGAGATACTTGTCCCCTAAATCTAGTATAGTTTGAGATTAGCCCCTCTGATCATTGAAACTTCTACAAGGTCCCCCAGTTTTCATAGTTTACTTTGAATTAGTTCATCCATTAAGACCATAGGTAGCGAGTAGAGCTAGGGGTTAGTTTGGAATGACTTACGAGAATTGAGTTACCTAATGGCTGCAGTTCTATGAATTAAGGGACAAGATCTAAAATAGCTACATGACTTAATTTTCTAATTAGAGCCATTTCAATGATTTAAATGATTTATTTAGGAATACCAAAGATCAAATGGGGGTTGTTACTTTAAGATACAAATTGCAAGAGGATTACATCAATGTATAAACTATCATGGACTACTACAATGTATTTCTTTGAGATACAAATTAGTGGGGGTTGTTACTTTAAGAGGAGAATAGATTGGAATTTGTTTTGAGGGAGCTCTGGTAATGGGTTTCGAGGTTGTTTTTTCTGTGTTGTGTCTTCTCAAAGAGAACATTGCACTATATATAGAGGCTACCACATCATCTCAATGAGAACATTGCACTATAATGTGTTTTTTCTGTGTTGTTTTTTCTGTTTTGAGGTTATTGTAGAACCTTATTTCCAGTCCTTTCTTCATTAAGCCGGGAACAGAGATCAAGTTGCGCTGAATTCCCGACGCATAGAATACATCTTTGAAGATAAAAATATTATTCTCAGAATCTAATATATACGAACCAATATCTCCTACATTGAGATAGGTATTGTTTCCCATATAGATACTTGTTCTCCTTTCTTCGGATCGGTAAATTCTGTGACTCCATTCTTATCCTTTGCAATATTTATGGTCGCACTGGAGTCGATTCACCAACCACTAATATCTGTTATCATAGCATTGCATTCTGTCACACCGACGAATTCTCTTTTGCTAATACCTCTTTGTTCCAGATGCTTATAACCTCCCTTATTCTCCTGTTTTTCACCTTGCGGGCAAGTGGGCTTGAAATGCCTGAACTTTCCATAATTGTAGCAGGCTTCGTGGGGTACTTTCTTTCTCTTGAACTGCTCTGATTTCGTTCCTCGTGGTTGTGGTTTACTGGGACTTGGGGTTTTATCGCTTCCAGCATTATGCCTCTGGCGGACATAATTCATCTCCTGTTGCACCATGTTCAGTTCTGGCTCTTTCCTACTGGCTATTAAGTCTTGTTCTATCGTTAGGTGCATAGGAAGATCAGTGACAGATTTTAATGGCAGGGTTCATTCTTAATGTGGTGGCAGCTATAACTAAGGAAGGGGGTGGGCTATTCAATATAGTTTCCACTTACATTCTCCCCGGGATTTCGGTCCCAGCAGTGTATAAGTTGTTAGCCATGATAATTATCTTATTGGTATGCTCTACGACATTGTCTCCATCTTGCAAATAACAAGAATTATATTATATGCAAGAGGAGTTGAATGTTTACTTCAGAGGCGGTGTCTTGTTTTTCTTTTATAGCATTCCACATGTCCATGGAAGTCTTATAAGTTGTAATAACTTTGATTAAGTTAGCTTCCATGAACATGAGCGTTAGGCTTTTTGCATTTTTATCTTTAGACTTTCACTGTTCATCCCTTTCTTTTCTTCAGGTGTAGATTTATCAGTAAGGGTTGGAGCAATGATTTCGATTATATCATCGATATTATCATGAAGAAGAGTATATCCTATATTTCTATGTTACATATCATAATTACTACCATTAAATTTGTTAAATTTTTCTAGTTCTGATAGAACAAGTTTACTAGCCATTTAGTGGAGAACTAAAACTAATTTTCCAATTAAAAATAAAATTAGATATGTGTACTACTAATTAATGATAAGATTATATATATATAATTAGATATGTGTACTACTAATTAATGATAAGATTATATATATAGTGACATGGCCAATTGAACTCCACGCATAATGCAAAAAATTCCTTCAGCTAATGTAGTCATTCACATTATCCACGATAGCCATGAGCTTTTAATGAAACTCCAAGGCTTTTCGTTTCCCGTTCGTTATCCTTATCATTATGCAACAACGCTTAAACTTTTATTGATTTCTATTGACTATATCTTTCATATCTCCCTCATTTCACCATCTCCGCTCTCATCTAAATTTCTCTCTCAACTCCACATTCTCCTCTGTCTTCCTTCCTCTTGGTCAATGCTTTGTTCTCCTCCTTCTCAATATCTAACTAGCGTTAGCATCTTTCAAATTCAATCTCAAGCCTGTCATTTGTCGAAGGGGGTTATACAAGGAGAGAGCACTGGTATGAAATCCATTTCATAATTTGAGCTCTGTTATATTTTTTTCGTCATCTGATCTCTTTGTACATATTGGTTAGTTTTGTTTGATTTCTATGGTTTTAGCTAATTAGATCTCTTCAAAGAGTGATGGCTAGAACTTGTTTTGATCTATTTCTTGTGATAAATTTATGTAGCAAGACGAAGTGCGCTCAATATCACACCGTCGAAAAAGAAGTCGGCCTAAAGCAAGGTGTGAGAGACATTTTCATCCACTTCGATCGAATTTGTTTTCTTTCTGCATTTTTATTAGATTTATTAAATTTATGTTATTCTTGGGCAAATTTTGACTTTACATTTTCCATATGATGGATGTGTCTTGGATCTTAGTTTTTTTTTGCAGGATCTTTCTTAGAGCTGAATATCTTTTACGTTTTTGTTAGTTTAGATCCTAGATCACATTTGTGCATTTATTATCTTAAAAAACATAACCTTCTAATATCATTGTGAATTTTGGACTTGAGGTTAAATTTTCTAAATTTATTTACTCTTTGTAAATCCTATTATGACCCAAGTTCAGTAGTCTTTTTAGGTGGCAATTTGGTACTACAACTGGTTATTCGTATTCTACTGCAAACAAGAGCATGACTATTTTCTTGAAGCATAACAGTATGCATGATTATCTACTTGATCCAAAGAAGGTATGACCTCTCAGCCTCATAATAACGCTATGTGATATGAGGAACTTAGCTTAGATATTGTAATTAGTTTCGAATGTGCTTGAACTTGAATTGCACTGAGTGTCTAATATGGTTGGTCTCTTATCATTGCTTGATTATGTCAATTTTATTTATACTATTGATTGTGATACTAATTAAATTCAAATTTTTGAATTTTACAAACATAGTGGTTACTTTTGGAGGTCAAACTAAAATTTTTGTTGGAGGGGAAAACTAATATAGAATATAAAAAATATAAATATGCAAGTTTGAATGTTTTAATTACACATATAATGTCTATTTCAAATTAGACCTCATATTTTTTATATTTAACAAGTATAAATTCTTTTTATGCAAAACCAAGATTAGTGTTATCTACTAAATATGCTCATGTATAGATATTTTTCTAGAGCTTATATTACAATGTTAAGGAATTTAGTCGTGAGGATCTAACAAATGAAAGAAAACCTTATTCACACACGCGCGCGCGCACACACACACTACTTATAAAAGATGATATGGGTGACAAAACTTTTGATTGTTTTTTATTTAAAAATTTTAAATATAATGGTCATTCAAATATGATAAGAGTAAATATCCCCACATTTAGGGGCAATTTGTAATTTAACTTTGTTCTTTTCTATCTTTTGTTCTTCAAATAACTCCCACCTGACCGATGAGTAGTCTTGTAGGCTGATGGACTCACTGGGGCAAATTATTCTCAGTTTGTTAGTCTTCTCCATAACACTGTAAAACATATGTATAATATAACTTGAAATACACATGCCACTTAAGATGGAAATAAATTCTATGTAACTATAATTAATCACATAATTCATACATGTGTTTTTGTGCTATAATTAATCACATAATTCATACATGTGTTTTTGTGATCAAATGCATTTGAAACTCCATACCTATTTCTTTATAATTAATCACATGGTTCATACATGATTGGGCGTGGTAGCCTTTGACATTTTGTAGTGAAATTTGGATAGGATTGGAATGAATGTGAAAGTAATTAGCTCATCAAATAGCAAGGAAAGGGAGGCTATTGAACACTTCCAGTGCTGATTCTTTCCTTGATAGCAGTAGTATTGAAGAAATATAGATATGAACAATATGGATAATTTGAATTTACTCTCTTACTTGATATTATGAGTTTAATTTGGATAGAGGAAATATTTGCAATATGAGAATCTAAGGTGACCTATAAAATGTTTCTAAATTGGGCAAAGTATTGCTTTTTTGGATACATGTGTAAAATTTGCTAAAATAATATTGTAATTTCTGATTATGGACTCATTTGTAATTCTCTACTATATGCATATTTAAAAATGTTATCATTTATTTAATTCATATATTCTATTCTTTCCTAGATCCGACGAGCCAACCTAAAACATTTTATATTCTTTAACTCTCTTTAGAGAGAGATAGAACGCATGCATGGGTGTGAATTTTTAATCGCATGAATTTAGATTTCTAATCTCTAACTCTCTCTGAGATTTTGTGTTTGTTGATGGGATTTTTCTTTTTATATTGTGTCATTTTCAGGGAAAAGTAAAATATAAGAAAAAGATAGAGAAAAATAAGAGGGAAGAATGGTAAGCGCAAATGCGAGTTTCAAGATCAGAGTAACTTGTCAAGAATTATGAATGTTTTTGTTAAAAAGAGTTTTAGTCTAATTTATTTAATTTTCTCTATAATTTTTTAATGATTCAGATCAAATAGGCATATTTATTCTAAAACCATTGCAGATAAGAGAGGAAAGGTGCAGTCAATTATGCGAGTTGCTCAAGATATCTGAGGTACTGCCATTTGATCTTTTAGAATAT